CCGACGTTATTGTGTGTTTCATAAAAATCGTAACACACAAAAGGTACCATCGTGAGGGGTGTCCAGAAGAATACGTAATAAAAATACGTCGACCAGACGATGTAAGAAGAGCAAGCGAATGAAAAAGCAGACGGCGGATTCGTTCGCATGAAGCTAACTGCGGCTCTCACGATAAAATTCTCGATGAAAAAGCTTTTCTTCAAATATTCCTAAGATTTCTGTCTCTTTTCTCTCTCTCTCTCTCTTGACTAATGTCTTCCTCACCCGTCATTTTGAATTTCTCATGAATGTCTTTGATTCAAGATATTAAAAGTTGCTTATCATACACACACATACATTGAAATAGTTTTTAATTTGTTATACAAAAGATCATAAAATCAGATTAAATCTGCAAAAAATGAAAATGCTCTCTTTTTTCTATATCTTGCTCTATTCTTTATTCTCTATTCTTCTTTTTGTTTGGGGTGATTTATTGCAAGTTGTCTCTCGTCTAATTTACACGTCGAATCTGCGTATTTTCGTGTACAGTTTCCACATGGTTGATCCGTCACCGCAAAAGTTGTCTGATAACGCAACACCATTAGTAAACTTAACATCGTCTCACAGTTGATAATCAAAGCTATTCGAGCCGATCGAATGCGCGTAAGCAAAGTTTAGGTCAGGGCGAACCCGCATTTTCGACAGGTTCTCATTGATAACACGTTCTTCCGATCCTCCTTCAGTTTTCCTACCTGTTTCGAGAAAAGTTGCTGCTTCCAAGGGTAAGAAGTTCGATTAAGAGAAGCGTTTACGAGGATAGCTGTAGTGGCAGTTTGAACTTTATGGACTATACAGAGAGGAAGCTTTTTACGACGGAACGCAAGACCGCAAAATACACGCCAGGGTCTAGAGAGAATATTTGTATAGATACATTCTATGTATATATGTTTTCCAGCCGATTTCTTACACTGCGTTTTTCCCGGTTCTTTTGTGTCTTTCGATCGATGCTCTCTTTTTCCAATTACACGCGAAACAGTTCATTTAATTATCTGAAAATTTTATAATGGAATCAATACGTCTTATATTGAGCGTACTTCACTTTTATCAACAGAACTAGTCGAGTGCAATAATTTAATATCGTATAATAAAAGTATTTCATATAAAACGTGAAGCAAAAATATAAGGAGTTTTGCAAAGAGTGATAGTAGCATTTTTCTCAAAAAATATTCTAATATATAGATACATTTATAATTGAAACAGTTTTTTCTATCTCTCCTCTAATTTTCTGCAATATTAAGAAATTTTTCTTTAAATTAATCAAGATGTTTTATTTAATTTGATTATTTTGATTAAACCAAACGTCAAAATAACCTAGATACATTACAAAAATCTAAAACAACAAAAATATATAAAAGATATATAAATTTATAAATAAAAAGATATATAAACTTTTTTGCTCTGTCAAATTGGTAAAACACTTTTATAAGTGTTCTCTACGTTGCTATTTTTATTTTACAGTTTTGTTTTTTATTTTTTTCTCATAAATACGTACATACAACTTCTTGAAAATATTTTTTTTATTCTACTCCGATATAGCTTTATACTTTTTATGCTTCCATTACAAATTGAGCTGACATTTTATTTGATTGCCAACTAAACGTGAATAAATGTACATCGTGTTTTTCCATCAATTTTCGCCCTTCTATGGTTATTCTTTGACGATTTGGAAATTTATGTCGTCCCTTTCCGCTTGCGTTATTTACGCGTCACTCGCCCAGTTTCCCACAAGAAAATACTTGGTGAGGTATTTCTTTGGGAAGAGTGACTTGTCTCGAAAAGACTCGTCAGAATGCAATAAGAAACGAGTGAAAGAAGCAACGAGTCGTTCTTCAAGTATAAAAATTTCTTTCGTGCTTCCTTTAGATTCTCTCTTATTTTGTAGCTGCTCGAAATTGTGCAATTTCTTGCGTAAAGAAATCTTGTTCACAGAATTTAATCGAGAACGGCTGAACACATGAGAGAAGTAAATACCTTGCTGTGCAGAAGAGAATCATATATATATATATATTCTTCATATATGTCTGCTCTCGTAGAATAAATGTTTCTGATTTCTGCAATTCCTGTTACATATTTGTTTTGTTCACATAGGATCTCATTCACATATACGATCGACAGTATTCGCAATATATACTTGTCTTAATTACAGTAATTAATTCTTGCGATCACGACGTAATTTTCAAACGTCAAAGAGAAATCCCGTCGTGTAATTAACACGACGCTCTGTAATAAGCGCATCTCTAATATCGCGAAATGAGCCGATTAGAGAAAATCGACGATACTCGAGAATCTCGTAGCGTTTCGAAATTTTCGCACTGACGTCGCCGTTATCGATCGAAGAAAACTGAAAAATGACATGTAAACTTAAAACTGCGAACGGATTACATAAATTATCATTTAACGTAACAAAACAAAAAAAAGTGCACCTACCTGCTTGAAGAAACGGAAGAGCGTCAAAAGCTTTCGCTACTAAAAAATTTGTCTGATATAATATTTAAAACGAGAACTTTGAAGAAAAATTTGAAAGAGCTCTCTCTCTCTCTCTCTTTTTTCTTTTTATTTAGAATAGTTTTTTTTTTTCTATGGTTTTCTATCTATTAAGTTTTTTCATTTAAAACATGCTGGTTTGAGATAAAAAAGATGAGAGGGAAAAGCAAGATTCAATTTCTTTCTTAGAAACTTTAATTTTCCACGATTACTTCGTCCCACTTTGTTACACTATATGAAGGGATTATAAGGCGAAAGATTTTGAGCGCTCTTCTCGCGTTTATCTCAGGTTGTTGTCGATGTGTAAGAAGCGGCGCAAACTTAAAAATGTGCAGAAAGGTCAACAAAGGATTAAGAACAAAGGCGGTTTGCCGAGGTGGAGATGACGTTTAATCGTAAATCAATAAAATTAATGAATTAAATAAATAAATTAAAAATGTTTATATATATATATACACATATTTATATATATAATATATATAATATATAATATAAAACATAAATAGGGTCCCGAGACTGCTGGAGCACAGCGCGCGCGCATTCCCTCACACTTCCCTTTCGTAATACCCGCCGTTATTCGCGTTATACGCGGAGGTTCGTCGTCGTTGTCGAGGTTTCTGACGGATGAGATCATTATCGTCTCTCGATAAAATATATCGTCGCAGATATTCATGCGACTCGTTTCCACAATCCCCACTTCTACTCTCTCTCTCTCTATCTTTTTTTCTCATAATATTATAAACGTCCTTTTTCACGGCAAGACTGATCGCTTGGTTGGTCGCTCTTAATTAAAACAAAAATAAATGGGATACTATATATATATATATATATATATATATATGTATATAAATACTCTCTCTCAGTGTGACGTACACTTTAAGGAGAACATTTTCCTTTGATCGGATTGTTAATTCCCTCAAAAACCTCTTGACCAACTCCCGCGTCTCCTTCCTCACCGGGATGAGGATTTCCCCATTGCTCTCCTTCTCTCGTAGTTTGTGTTCTTTCACCGTCTATCTTTCTTTCTCTTTCTCTCTTTCTCTCTCTCTCTCTCTCTCTCATTATCTATTTTATATCTCTGTTTTTAGCTAGTCTACTGCGTTACACTATTGTATTTTACATTAAATCGTTTTTGCCCTGTGGTCTCTTTCCCGCGATTCGCTCCCTGACTGACCGATTTCCTCTTTCCCCTTTTTTTTACGTCATTGTTTTCTGAGCGCAATAATCGGAAAATTTCGATTCTGTAAAATTTGAAGATATTGCTGCAAAATATTGTTGAAAATGATTGTCATAAATAGCTATACTGTTAGGTATACTATATATGATAGTTTTGAAGTGACATAGGCATTGTCGCAACTTTAACAGAAATAAATTTGAAGGGAGTAAGGATCTTTCGGAACGCGTTCCGGCAATTCGTTGTCGCGGCCTTGATCGAGACCCTGAGCTCTTTGGTATTATTCTCCCATTCGCGGAGATTTTGGAGAAGTGTGCGACGCACACATCGCATATCTCCGGCGTGCTTTTATGTCGTCGTTCTTGACGGCGGGTTTTTCTCGAGGTCGAGCACCACCGTTTGAATTCGCGATAGTTGCTCGAGAATCCAACCTCTCTAACGCTACGACGCCGAAGAGAACATCGGGGAGAGTCGAGAGCCCGACGTGTTCCTTTCCTTTTTTTTTTTTTTTTATTCTTCCCTCTTTCATTCGCCGGCACACGCTCATTTGCACATTCATGATCTCTCGCACACGGTCGCCCATTCTTTCTGTCATCATTTCTCCCTTTTTCCCGCCGAAGAACCGTCCGCGGAAGCGCGTGTATGTACGTTACGTAGTGACATTTTTTCTAGAGGAAAAGTACTGGTAATAATGCTCAAAGAAAAGAATTAAAAAAGAAAAAAACAGAAAAGTGAGAAAGAATTAAAAGAAAGAAAAGGAACAATAAAACAAGATGTAGACAAACATTAAAAGAAATCAAATAGTAGATATAAGAAGAACTATAAAAAAAAAATAAGAGAAATAAGAAAAAAGAAGACATAAGAAAAGTTGTCAAAGTAGCGATATCTGTAGAAGTTCAAGAAGGTACCAATGCCCGGACCAAATTGTTCGGAACCTGTTTCGATAAAGTACACAGAATCCGTCCTGTAATGCCCGAGATCCGACGAAACCGAAAACTTCGTCATTTCTATATTTTCTTCTACAATTTCTCTTTTCCTAAATCGCTCCCTGTCGTCGTCCCTCTCGTTTTCTGTGTTTTTAAATCCGCCTATCTTTTTTTTTTTCCGCACGATTTTTTCCCGTTTCCTCTTTGGTCGCGCGTTAGCCCTTTCACGACTCCATCCCTTAGGCCTCAAGTGCACCGCAAGAGTCTAGAAAAGGGTCTACTCATGGTTTAAAGGGCTCCGCGCGATTATCGCTAGCAGTAGTACGAGGTAGAGAGTCCCAGCTTGCAGGAAAAGGCCCCCCTATGGTTATACACACTTCCGGTGCTGCTGACTTCCTTTGCCTCGCACCGCTGACCCGTGTATCCCTCCGCGCATCTGCAACAGAAAAATCAAACTAATTTGTGAGACATTCATTTAAATTAAATGTACGTGACGTAATCAGACATTTCCAAGCTTTAATAAAATCTCGACAATACAGACATCGAGAAGAGAACAATTTTTTTTATGACACAAAACAAACAATATAATTATTGCATTTTGTGAGGTACATGTATATACAGAATTGAAACATTTAATGACATTTGATTTATTTTTAATAATTTATTTTTTTGTTTTTGCTTTTTTTTTTTTATAATCCTCTCATCTTTACTTCATAAAATACCACGGCGTCCCGAGCAGACCGCGTCGTCGGTGCGGTGAAATTTATTAGCCCGGCTCGGAGCTTTTTTTTCCCGAGAGCGCGTGTGCGAGAGAAGCGCGCACGCGGGTTTCTTAATTTAACTAAATGTATGCGTCGCATCAGAATTTGCGCGACGGCGTCTTTCGCAAAAGCGCGCACGACACGGAATAGCGGGGATTTCGAGGAGAGACAGGCCGATGTGTCGTTTCTTTGGAAAAATAATGTTATGCCGTCGTCGTGGCTATTTATAGGCCGCGGTTAACTAACCGCGACGAGACGTTCGCGCGTTCGAAGCCACCGCGCGGGATTAAGAAGAGCGCTCGCCCGCTCCCTCTCGGGTGCCCGGATAAATAAATTATGGCACGACCTTTCCTCTACCGTTCTTTCTCGCGCCTTTCATTTTTCTCTTGACGCACCAATCTCTTCCTCGTTTTTTTTTTGTTTTTTTTTCTTTTTATCGCGAACCGCTCCGCCGCTAATTCCGTCGCGCTGTGTCGTTATTTTCGCCGGTCGTGTCGCGCCTCTCGAATTCTGCGCGTACAAGGAATTAACAGCGAATAGACGACTAAAACTCGCAAAAGGTTTTTCGCGTTAGTTTCGTATTAATTTTCCCCGTCCTTGCGCGGACTAATTTATAAGAGCTAATCAAATTTAAAGCGGCGACCGAGTTGACGCACAAACAACATCCGATAATAATCGCGAGATTTTGCCTCTTGTTGTGCGCCCGTCGGACGGATATCCTTAATCCGGCACTGTAAAAGCCCCAGAGAGAGAGAGAGAGCAATTCTCTCTTTCTCTCTCTACCTATACCGTAGTTTGTCCGGGGGACCCCGGACGGCGTGCGATAAAGCGTATTTTTGTCACGACAAATTTGGAGCGTCTGAGACGTGGCGCGTCGTTTTTATTTTGCGAAATCGCGCGCATAGGTAAAACAGAAGAGAAAAAGAAGGAGAGAGAGGATAGCGAGAGAGAGAGAGAGAGAGAGAGAGCAAGAACAACGGAGAGCGGGACAAGAGGGAAGAAAAAGAGTGACACACAGTTCCAGAAGTGTCTCCGATGAGAAGAGGGGACGACGCTTCGGCGGAGAGAGAATTGGGTTTTGCGAGCGACCGTCTCTCTCTATCTCTCTCTCTTTCTTGAATGCTCGCGCGTGCGTTTACACTGTTCGAAAAGAATGACGACCGACACGTGCTAAGGGTGGGGTTAACGCGATAATATAATGCGTGAAGGCCACGATATTTACCCGCACCGGATACCCAAGAAGTAAGAGAGTCGAATATTGGACTTTGTTGCGAATTTCTCACGTGCGCGAAACAGTCGCGCGATTTCGGTCCCGCACGATTCGAGAGTTTTTCGGTACTGCATTCGCGGAGATTTACGAGGGATCTACGTTAAATATACCATTTCTCTTTCTCCCTTCTTCTTCCACATGGATTTACTGCCGAACGAACTAAAACAGCGGCGCAGATAGTACAATTTACTGTACCATTCACTTAAAGCCATTAACGCGCACCCGCTAACTTTACCCCCAGCCGACCGCGAGTAATTGGCTTTCCATTGAGATTTATCGTAATCATGCGTGCGCGCTCTCGCTACACTTCCGACAACTTTTTCACACGTCGCCGTAAAACAAGACGGCGCTCGCGCGAGAGTTCGCGAAACATTCGCCCGTTCGAAATGAGAAAAGTAGCCAGGACGTGTGCAATATGCAGTGAAATTCGCGCGGAAATTGTGAACGAGACATCCGATTGATAAAGAAAAAAGTACACCGCGAAGAAAATGCGAAAAGAGAATTGCCGCACAGAAAGTGACCTTCTATATAACAACATTATCTTAAATCGCACTTTAAAATTATCTCTCGTTTTCCGCACATAGCTTTTGAAATGATCCTCTGAAGGTTATTATTCCGTTTTTCGTATAATATCTCGACGAGAATTAGACAAGTTCGCGAAACAAATTCATGGCTATCTGCGGAGGCGTTAACAAGAAAATTTCTCGCGTTATATCCTGTCCCTAAAGTGCTTTTACGACTCGAGAGAGGAAATAAAATTATTCTCGGCGAGAGAATACCGTCGTTGTACAGATCGATTTTTCTCGTTGACAGTTTTTACGCGATTCCCGCGCTCCCGTACACACGCGTCGCGACTACGTTACGCGCGCGCGCGTGCGTGTGCGCTCGTAAAAAGATCGCAAATTAGCGCAGCTCGTTAATTCAGGGCCGTTGGCAGAATTGCGGCAGATGCATCGGTTTTCTCGCGTGACCGCCCTTTGGAATATATCGATCGGCAGTCCGCTTTTCGAGGGTAGATTCATTGTCTCGCGAGCTTTTAATAGAGCGTTATTATTGTTTCCTTCCCTTTTCCCGAAATTTCTCTGTCGCTGTGATCACACAGTGACATCGGAAGCCTTTTTCCATTCTCGTTTTCCAGTCCCGCACAAACTTTCGAAAAATCACTGAAGTTTCGACGTGGAAGAGCTTGCAAAACGTGACATGTCGCGCACAAGACTGCTCTAGTTTATAAATTGAAAATTTACAACTTCGCTCGCGACAGAAGAAATGTACTTTGCTAATGCATTATCTTTTCTTTTTTCCATTACGCGAAAATTTTCCCGTCACGATGTATATAACAATGAACTATGTGTAATAATAATTATTAGGATAAATGTTTTTTTTTAAGAAAAAATTTCGTCCTTTTCTCAGCTTCGTTTTGCAGAAGAAAAAACAGCGTTAAATTAAATGACATCTTGTATAATTAATCTAAGAGGGAAAGAGAAATTGTTGGAACACATTTTCCGACCTCGTTACATTTTTACTAAAATTGCTACGCTAACACCGCACTTTGTTTCAACGACATATATAGTATATTTACGCGAGTAAAGTTAATTTTAAAGAAAACGATGCCTTAATCGCATTTCAGTCTCGCGATGACGTAATCGTGACGAGCACCAACGAAAAAACGCGATGTCACTTCGCGGTAATAACTCAAAACGTTTTCCCGCATGATGGTACTAAGTAAGAATAAACAAAGAGCAGACAAAAAACTAATTAAAACACGGAAAATCCACGACAAAGACGCATAGTGAGAAGAGAGATATTCCGGCCTCTGGAGACTGTTGTCTTTTCGCGCCGGTCTCTCTCCGAACACGCGCTTTTGCCTTTCGTTTTTCAGATATTAATTAAAAGTAACAACAATCCCGGGAAAAGAAGCGCTTTTTCCGACAGTGGCGTTTAAACCCGTTCTTAAAGAAGACGGCTTTCTTCTTGTAAATATTTTTTACGACAACAGAGCGAAGCCATATAATTGCAGTTGAATGCGTGATATATAGTATAATGGCGTTACATAAAGTGATTTTTTTCCAGAGTGTATTATGCGATATATTCATCGCGATACTTTTCACATAACATATTGTTATTATTATTTTGGATTCAGATATTTTTATTTAATTGCAATCGTTATTTAGATATAACAAAAATAAAATATACCGAAGTTGTAACGCAAATTGATTTCTCTACTGACAATGTTTTGCTACATCACGAAATTATAAAAGCGACTCTTTGTACAACCACGCTCGATCGCCAGAGATTTACGAGAATTCACGTTGGTTTTGGTTTTTCAAGTGGAAACGCCGAGTATCGGGGATGAAAGAGAGTGGGTTTTGTTATACGATATTAATTCTCCGTGACGGGTCTAAAAGAAACTTTCTTGCAGTATAATTTAATTCAATAAAACGTTTCCACGCGAAACGGAAGTTTCGGAGATGTAACGTTTCGAGAGTTTTTGTGTGATATTTACAAAATAAACAAATTTCATATACCTATATCCAAATATTCAAAGAATTCAATTTTTGCGGTACATATTTGTCTAATATATAATTTAAATATATTCATAACTGCACACACATACATGAAATATTTATTCGTTGATGTAAAATATTTGAACACGTCAAAGATATAATTGTTTGAACAGCGCAAATATAGAGTGTAAATATAGTTTCATATTGAAGCAATAAATATGTTTATTTGTAGCTCGCAAACAATATATATATTCTCTCTCTCTCTCTCTCTCTCTTTTTCTTTCTCTCGTACAATCGTCGTGTATTAAATTATTCCTAACTGCGGGGAAGATCTCCTTTTTCGCGCCAGGACTCGAATGTGCAGGTCGCATGCGTTTCGGTCTCGCGTGCGCCCGAATGCGCGGAACGATTCCGACTATAATGTACCGTACTTTATTTTAGCCCGCGAATCGCACTTTTCCATCTCCTCGCCCCCGCGCTTACTTCTCGCAGGACAAACTGGGTTACTTAGTTGCTCGTATAGCAGCTACATCCACACCTTTCGCGCATACCAAACGGGCCGGAGCCGTAGAGATCCCGCGCGTTGCACCTGTATCCTTCTTTTCTTCTCCCCCATACTTCCGCCGCCTTGCGCTCTTCCATTTCCGCTTTCATTTATTTTCCTGGCTCTCTGCTTCCTTGCCTTTCGTGCCTACTTGGACACTCAATTCACGAGTGCGAATAAATATAGCGAATTCTTTTGTTTTCTATTTTGTTTTGAGCAAACTCGAGTTTGTGTGATTTTACTACGCGGACGTGATGCGCGTTGAAGGTGAAATCAAAGAGAAATCGCGGAAAAGAGTTTAACATCGCGTCGGACATTTAAACAATTCGGAAATTGTAAACCGGAGCAATATCAAAT